GCCTAATCCATGTGCAGATTAAAATCACCCACGATTACTGATATTCCCTTATCACATGCATCTCTAATTTTCAGTTTAATGCCATTCTCGACATCACCACTCCAGTATGACACCTACTAATGTTTTTTCACCCCTTGGTATTTCTCAACTCTACCCATACAGACTCCACATTGTCAGAGCTAATATCCTTTCTCACTATTAACCAGCAATGCCGCTCTGCCACCTTTTCCTTTTTGCCTGTCCTTCCCAAATACTAAATACCCTGGGACATTCAGTTCCCATCCCTGGTCACCCTGCAGCCATGTCTCTGTAATCCCAATTATATTGTACCCGTTTACATCTATCTGCATGATTAGTTTATCCACTTAATTGCAGATGCTCCATGCATTAAGGCACAAAGCCTTTAAGCTTGTCCTTTTAATGTTTGTCTCCTCCTTATTTTTCTCAATAGCCCTGTTTGAATCTTGTCCTTGATTTCTCAGCCTATCACTGTTCTTATTCCTTTTTCTAGCTTTTGTTTTTGTCCTTGCTGCCTCCTTGTCTGACTCTTTATACAGGTTCCCAGCCCCCTGGCCTATTAGTTTAAACCCTCCCCAACCGCTCTAGCAAACAGTCCCCCCAGGACATCAGTCCCAGGTGTAACCCATCCGATTTGTGCAGGTCCCACCTCCCCCAGTACTTGTCCCAATGCCCCAGGAATCTGAAACCCTCCCCCTGACACCGCATTGCAGCCATGTATTCATCCAGTTCATCTTGTCATTTCTCCTCTGACTAGCACGTGGCACCGGTAGGAACTCTGAGATCACTACCTTTGAGGTCCAATTTCTTAACGTTCTTCCTAGCTCCCTGTATTCTGCCTTTAGGAACTCATCCCTTTTTTTAACCTTTGTTGTTTGTACCAATGTGTACCACGACCACTGGCTGTTCACCCTCCCCCTTCAGAATGTCCCCAGTCTGCCACATTGAGCAAGAGGAGCAAACCAAGACTTTGAGCTCTGTTGCCATGGTTTACCTCTTTAAATTAAACCTTGGAGAGTACTTTTATTAGGTTAAATCTAATCCAGTTACCTGTGGCCCTTCTTTCCTAGTCTGTGTACTACCCTTACAGATTAGAAGCCAAAAAGAGTACTATAAGTGATTTACAGCAGGTAGGACAGACATCAAACACTGAAAGAACTTCCTTAATGTCATGGACCAAAGGAACTTCACAGGCATCAACAGTGTCCAACTGTTAAAACTGAACGCTTTTATTGTAAAACATAAGAAACTTTCAAAAAATGTGTCAAAGCAGGATACAGCCATAGAAAAGGAAAAGGCCAATGAAATACCCACACAAAGTGATAAATGAGGTGGAACAATTTCCAGTAAAAGTCAAAACCAATATTTTCCTGAAGTAAGCAGTCATCCAGACCAAATATTTTGGAAAGCAGACATTTATGTCAATGGATGGCTCACGAATTTCAAGTTAGACATGACAGAACATATTATTGTATTGATTTTGGGCTTTATTTGATGAACATTGTTTGCAACAGCTGACAGAGCTTCAACTGTAGGGTCTAAAGATACGTTATGAGCACTTCTCCAACATAGAAGGCACCACATTCTAGAAAACGTATATGCACTTCATTACCAGGAATTCTAAGTTGACCCGAATTATATTTAAAAGCTAGAAGGCGTAATCAACAAAAGAAAGAAAATCAAACAAAGAGGCAACAACTGAACAGTATACTCCTCTCAAGACAATTCAAGTAGCTGTAACTGACTTGAGTCAGATTGCAATGCAACAAAGTGAACAACTAATGATGATGAATCCAAGTCACACATTAGATGCTGAATTGACTAAGAAAGGTCAGGTTCAAGTAGAATATCTTCCAAAGATGAAACCTCAACAACCATAATGGATATTACAGCAATCAAAAAGTAACCTTCAAGCAATCCAATTGAGGAAGTGAACAGATTAGTTTCACCAACGGTTGAGTCACTGAGGGCAAATAAGAAAATCAAAATGAATGAACAATATGAAGTGGAAAGTTTATCTACTTCAGTACATGTGGATTGAGAACAAAAATCCACTGACACAAATTGAAGTTGTGGTGCATACAGCTCCATGGAAGACACCAGTAAGAAAAGACAAGAAATGTCTAAAGTTTCAAGATACACAAAAGAATAAAGGAATTTTCTGTAGCAGGGTTGACGTCCGTAATGAAAGAAACACAATAGATTAAAGAAAAAAATCTGGTTCAGAAGAGAAACTTGAATCACAGACCACTCTTGCAAGTCTAAACAGAACACATTAAGGGAATAGTGTAACCTCCAAATTGTCTCAGTTTGTAAGACTTGCTTTTAGTGATAGGATAATTATAGTAAAAGTAATTATATAACAATGTATAACAATAATAGCTATAACAAAAAGGTTTGGTAGAGATGTTACATATTGGCTGAAAGGGTTAACACTTGATTGAATGCAATTAGCAGCACCCACAATGATGATGTCATCAGGATTTGGTGGAAGATTATAGTTGGATCTCATCAGAGACAGTTCTTTGTACTAACGTGCAGCCTATCCTTACAACCTGTAAATAACTATTGAGATGTAATAAACTACATCTCATTTACTCCACAGGAGTCTTCTTGTTAGACCAGAAGATGACTTACTCTCGCACACACTAGACCACGTAAGCACCAAAAGAACCCACATTTAGAAAACACAACTGCAATGCACACAAGTATTTGGTTAGTTTATTTAATACACACCCCCTTGTATTGAAAGTGCTATCTCATTACTGATTTTTCCATACAAAGTTATGCTCACTTATTCTATCCCCCGATACATACTGAAGCTAAGTAACTATTTAATGTTGCTGCCATCTCGCCATTGCTACGATGGTATTATCCTGTCTATTTAACTCGCAGGCCTGTAACCCATGTCTCAGCAATCCTTACTTTGGCTCCACCTGTCACACAATTAGCCTGTTTTATTGTGAACAGTTGAGATTGCTGTAGAGAGGGATCGGTACTCCACTCACTTCATGTTTAACAAGCTTTTTAATTTCCTACGTTGTAGTTCTACCTTGCCATCAATACATCTTGCCCTGATGAAAATTACCCTGTTTGCCTTATTTCTGAATTCCGCCGCGCCCCCATCTTAATTTCATGCCTTTGCATATTCCTCGTTCACCCTTCCAATAGGACATGGTTCCCATCCCGGTTCAGGTGAAGCTTCTTGAGCAACTGGCAGAGAGGCAAATGTGAGAAACAGCCGATGAGGAAAAGGCGGAAAGAAAGGCATATGGTTTGGCGGGGGTGTCACTGGCAGAATTATATCGGCAATGCCACTGAAGTTTAAAAAGCAACAGCAGGACAGTTTATTTACAGATCTTTTTGATGCTAATAACTTGCATTTATGTAACGCCTCTAACATTCTAAATTTCCAGTACAGTTTGTAGGAGACCGAGAGTCTCAGGAGTGAGTTTGAACGATTCGATCAGCAGGACGGCGAGTGACTCTCCCAGCACAGAGATCATAAAATTGTGAGGTAGGTTTCAGTTGCACAATCTTTAACACGAAGCCCACCTCACATGGCTATAATAATCTCAAGACCCCGCTCGCACACTTTGCAAGCCCGTCCTCCGCGCCGCCGCATTAATGGTCATCAGAAATCTCCTCTCCCTTCCCAGTCACCAGCATCAACCGTACCGCCCACCCTTCTCCCCCTCCCCCAGCTGGAAGTGTGCCGAATTTTATCTCACAGGAGTGGGTCACCTCACTGTTTGCACTTTCAAGACACGCTACACTGCGCGGACTGCGAGCAACTCCAGCCCACGAACACTATTTACAGGAGGCTGGACCATTGCCGCCGCTGAGTCCCAGTTCCTGGAGCGCGCGCGCCCGAGCGCGTCACGCGCACCCCCGCCCCCTATCCATCTCCCCAGAACGCGCCCGGGGAGCGAGGGGCGCGGGCTCGCGCTGCAACACATTTCCCAGGAACAAGGTTGAAAGACACAGATACACAGAGGAACAGAGACAGAGTTGGGGGGAGGGGGGGGTTGGGGCGGGAGAAAAGCCGAGCCTCGGTGCTAAACCATCCGCAAGCCCTTTCAAATGAATCATCTGAGGCCGGCATCTGGAGCGGATAAGAACATTGCAGAAATAATAAGGAGGTTTTTGCTCCTGGCGTGTGCAGCGCGCCGAGCTTGAGGTAAATCACGGTACGGGGGTCGTCGTTAGCCTTTTCTAAACAGAAAAGAGAATCTTTCAAAAGACGGCGAGAGAGGGGGAAGAGAATGAGAAAGCAAAGCCTTGAGCAGTGAGATGCAGTGCAGTAGTTAGTATCCCTCCATCGCCGCCACTGTAGCCGGCCCTGGTTGCTGTCTGTGGTACTGAACCTGTCTCAGGGCTCGGGCTGGCCGCTCTTTCCCGTCCGCCAACCTTGTGCACCCTTTCCCCGATGCTGCATCTGAATGCACAGCCTCCCCACACCCAAGGCTGCATGCAAAACATTTGATACAATGAGATAGTATTGAGGAGACTCCGCTGCATGCAGTCGCCTAACGGTACAACGCGGGGAACGTGCACTGAATGTACACTTGCCGTGAAACCCCGGTCACATTTTTCTTTGCAATCTTGCTCGCATTTCTGTGCATTTTATTGAGAACTGCTTGGATGGTTTATCCTCTTGCGCTTCCCATTTCTGCTATGCCTTGTCGTAGGCATAGCTCAGGGCAAAGATCGCATGTGCTTTTGTGATGGGCTTATCTTCCAAATCCGCGGTCATAAAATCATAAAGGGATTTAGAGTCGAAGTTTACACGAAGTGCTGCCTGCACCCCTCCTCCCTCTTGTGTTGGTATACGTGCATTGCCCTCTGCTATGTCCAGATTTGACATCTGCGGCTACTTCATTTATTATACTAATGTGGCGCCTGACTTCATCTTTTCTAATTTCATTTTCTTGCTTAGTGAAAAATCGGGAGTCCGAAGGCAGCTCAAGACAGATCTTGCGATGGCTCAAGGAAATAGTTATGGGCAGAATGCCAGTAACAACGGTATGGCAGACGAATCGCCGAACATGCTGGTGTACAGAAAGGTAGGCAAGTGTGTGGGGAAATGCATGTAACTTGTGGCCGAAGATGAGGCGTCTTCTTCAAGCTACGACGTGCAGCACGTTATTTGGGACCCATGATGTTTGTAGTGTGCCTTGCTTATGGCCCTGGTTGTGGCCGGGACGAATAAGATAATCATTTAGCTGGACGTAATCCAGTGTGTTCCCAGTGTGTCCCAAGTACGCTTGGGGCTCGGGGCGGGGTAGGTTTAAGCTAACTACCGATTGTTGAATTGCGGTTCTGGTCAGCTGTAGAGAGCTTTCTTTCAGAGGGTATTTATTTAAGTCTGCTTGTGTGTGTGTGTGAACGCTGCTGGGGCCAGGGGCTTGTCGGCAGCGGGTCTCAGTCCTGGGGCTGGCCTTACGGTCACAATAGACCGGTTTTAGGTGACGGCACTAAAGTGACAGGTGGCTGCAAAGCAGATCTGAGCCAGAGCTGGCACAGATCTTAACCTCGCCACATGCCCACAAACAGTGGGCTGCAGCTAGCACGTGTGCTGTGTGAATTCGCAAGAACGATGAGTTCGGTTTGATCCGGTTGTCCTCGTGAATCACACGCATTTTTAGAGCAAGGCTTTCCACAACTGCTGTGTCTGCTCTAGACTGTTGGGATGAATTAAATATAGCCTTTCTCACTGGCATTGGTCGAAAATACCCACACAGGCATTTAAAGTGGCAAAAGCACTCATATTCAGTACGGCACGTTTTTATGGACGATTTTTTTTCTTAAAAATAGGTTTTAGCTTATAAATACCAGCTGAAGGAAACACTTTGAAGACGGCCCAACATGAACTGAAATATGCAGTCTTGGGATTAGATCTTCCTGTACCAGTGGAAATAGTCTTCCCAGGGCCACAGAGATCACTGGTCTGAAATTATACAGAATTGAGCTGGAGCATGCAAGTAGATGGAGGGACCAGGTCAGTGCAGATGTAGAAAAACATTCAATAGTAAACACAGCTGTTATGCAGCTTTTTGCATTTCCTGAAAAGGCGAATTTGTGGTTTCTTCCATATCATTGCACACTCTTCCTTTCGTATTGAATACTTTAGTGGGGAAATGTTGGAAGTGTAACTGAGTGATTATCACCTATTGAACTGCAACATGAACACCACTTCCATGTCAACATTTAAACCTGCCGTTTCTGTTTTATAGGCAGGGATGCTATCTACGGAGTCAAAGACTTGCTGTGATTTATTGCTTTACATTTTGCATTGTTTTTCAAAGGCAATAGGAGCGTAGCTATGGTTATTATACTAAGAACTCAAAAGAGCACTGCTCTGTATAATTTGCATTCGTAGTGTTCCTGATTTAAGATGTGATTCACTAGTGAAAAATGCAGAATGGAATTTCCCAAGATTAGTCACTAAAATAAAGCTCGATATCACTGCTCGCTATATCAGGTGACTCACTTGCGGACACATTGTCAATGACTGGCATGAAATCCCTGTTGACAAAAACAGAGAGCATTAAGATGGATGTTTTCTTCTTGTGTAAGAAGTTATTAATAACACTTCCTTTGCAGAACTGCATGACTGTCAAACAAAAGATCATGCACTCCTGCAATTTTCCTGTTAATGATTTTGAGAAACCTAATATCATTAGTAGGAACAGTACATGAAAAGTAAACCATAAAACAAAATAATGCTTTTTACACTTTGTAAATGGCTGAAAAGCTGCTTAACTTGTGTAAATGATTAACATTAATCTAGCTGTGATGTGCATTTTTGTTTACACGTGAATGAAATATTTGGAAAGCCCACTTTACAACCAGGCCATGGATGTCCCAGTAGATGGCAGCATGGAGATGAAGAGCAAATGAATGAATTTCCATGAGTGACAATTGACCACTTCTTTCAAAATAAAAATGGTCATCTATGGGATGCATATGTGTTTGAACTTTCAATTTATTATACATCAGTAAACAATATGATGAATACCATTGTTTGCAATTCCTAAACTGCAATTTCATATATATATTATATATATATATTCAGTGTAGGGTGTAATTAACATATGAGAATTGAAACTTACAACTTACCAACAGGTTCCTGTAGATCTGGATCTTGCGTAGGTATTAAGTAATATTCATGTAAACCATGAGGTATTTTAGGCTTAACATTATTGTGTTACATAATCAAATGAAACCATAAATAACTGGGACTACAGGAGCATCACAGGAGCAGGAAAGTCAACGTTCCGGGTTTACACCCGTCATCAGGACTTTTTGTATTTGTCCTGCTCCTCTGATGCAGTCTGACCCGCTGTGTTCCTCCTGATCCACAATGTATTGACTCTGACTCCAGCATCTGCAGTTCTTGCTATCTCCAAATGTATGAGCTAACCTTGAGACAAAGATGAAATGCTTGAAATGATTTTTTAAAAATTCATTCGTGGGATGACGGTGTCAGTGGCTGAACCAGCATTTATTGCCTGTTCCTAATTGCATAGAGGGCAGTTAAGAGTAAATCATGTTGCTGTCTGTAGTCACATGTAGGCCAGATCAGGTAAGGATGGCAGTTCCCTTCTCTAAAGGACATTAGTGAATCTGATGGTTTTTTTCATGATTGACAATAGTTTCATGGTTTTCATTAAATTTTTAATTTCAGATTTATATTGAATTCAGATTTTACTATAGCAGGATTTGAATCCAGGTCCTCAGAGAATTGCCTGAGTTTCTGGATTAACAGCCCAGTAATAATACCACTAAAGCCATCACCTCTCCCCTAAATATGTGACTGGAGTTTGTAGTCACATTGAACTCGAGGAAGAAGAAAAGCCAAGGATAATTAAACTGTAAATGCTTAAACAGAATGTGCCTTACAGGAATAGAAAATAGGTTGCAAAAACCACAGCACAAAAGATGACATGTTAACAGAGATACCAAAATGTCCTACTTTCCTTAGACTTTCGTGAAACTCCCTTGTTATCAAAGAACTGAGAAGATAGGCTGGAAACAAGTGATTTGGTATGTATAAGTGCTGCAGTTTATTTAAAGGGCATCAAATATATCAGTAAGGCTGACATCAAAAAACCTGAAAACTGCATCTTCATGTCTCATGCAGATTGTTCAATAGAACTGAGTTGATTTCTTTGGAAGTCAAGGATACATAAAATAGTATTCTTGACACTGAAATTCATCAATCTTTAGCTTTCAGTATTAGATCCTTAGTTCTTAATTTAGTGGTTATCCTTTTCATTTTTCTGAGAGTCAACCTTGTAGTAGAAACCATGGGAACTTTAGTCTTGTGTATGCAGTAGGGTGCTTATAAAATCAAAATACATTTCCATTAGAGAGAAAATGGTTACAAAAGTCATATTAGCTAGTTAGAGGCAGAAAGAAGTGTGCTGTTTAAGTGTACAAGTTCCCCCAAGAAGACAACAATGTAGATGACTTTTAACAGCTCTTTGTAGGGTCCTAGCAAGCCATTCAAATATCTCAAATTGCTACGACAAAACAATAATGAGAGCAAAACTGGACAGCTTCCATAGCATCAACCTAAACTTTGGATTTGGAAAAGGCACAGTTTCCCCAATTGGTCCTGAAAAGTCCTCCTCATGAACACCTGGCGACATGTGCCAAAATTGGGAGACACACCCACAGCTTGGCATTGTCGTAATCACAAAGTAATTCTATGTGCACAATGCTTCAGACCTCTCCATCACCAATGATGAGCAAGCTCTGTCCTACCAGCAAGTTCAACCCTCAGAGCTGGCAGCAGACTGAATCATAGAATCCCCACAGTGTGGAAACAGACCCTTCGGCCCAACAAGTCCACACCAAACCTCAGAGCATCCCACCCAGACCCATCCCCCTATAACCCACCTAATCCACACCTCCCTGAACACTATGGGCAATTTAGCATGGCCAATCCACCTAACCTGCAAATCTTTGGACTGTGGGAGGAAACCGGAGCATCTGGAGGAAACCCACGCAGACACGGGGAGAATGTGCAAACTCCTCACAGACAGTCGCCCGAGGGTGGAATCGAACCTGGGTCTGTGAGGCAGCAGTGCTAACCACTGTGTCACCGTGCAGCCCACTGGTGGAAAGTGTTGAGGCAGTGGACCTGGGAGTCTTCAATATTACTTCTGGAGATCATGAAGTCACATGGCATTAGGTCAAATGTAATCAAGGAAACATCCTGCTAATCATTACTTACTTCCTTCCTTTCTCAAGTTAATGGATCAGTACTTTTTCATTTTGAACATCACTTGGAAGAAAACTGAGAGTTGGACTGGGGTGCATGATTTCAAAGTCTGTCATGAAGAATAGCTTGGTAGTACCACTATTACTGAGCTGTCCAAGCCCTAAATGGTATAGCTGTCAGATTGCATCTGTAGCAGGTGCAAGTGAACCTTTAATGAGGGAAAACCCAATTGACTGCACTCACATAATTCTGTTTTACATAAGTGTACCTGTCCACTTAATATTGCAGTGCAAAGGCCTTGTGAAGATAAAGTCCCACCTTCCTGAGGACAGTCTCTGTTATGTTTTGTGGCTTTACCACTTTACAAAATGGGATAGATTCAGAACAGATTTAGCAGTACAAAATTGGAAATCTATGAGACATAGTGCACCATCAGCAGTAGTAGAAATGCCTTGGAATCAAGTCATGGGATCAACCCTGGTTCGTTGAGGAATGCATGAGAGTAGCCAGGAGCTTCATTAGGATACCTAGATATTATATGCCAATTTAGTGAAGTTACAACACAAGACCATATTCTAAATAGTAGAAGTGGTATGTTTTAGATAGAACTAAGCAATTTGACAACCAATGGATCAGAACCAAACTTGCAATTTTGTCACATCCAATTTCAAATAGTTATGAAAAATTAACCAACTAATAGGATGAGGAGGCTGTATTAAAATTCTCATCCTTAATGATAGCGTATCTAACTCATGAGTGTAAAATGCATAGTTGAAGTGTTCGTAAAAAAAATTCTTCGGGGAATGCTTACTAAATGATCCATATTGGCTTACT